TTCCCCAATGATGATGATGCTTTTTTTTAGGACTATTAAGATTTCTTGACATTATATTCAGTGGGGTTTTTTTTCTTTCCAGACTCACATTACTATAATGAAGTAATGAAAATATGTCTGGACACAATGCATTTTAAATAAAGTTTGCATAAATTAGATTTAGTACAAATGCTCCCATTATGTTAACTTACATTTGTACAATCGCAATTTATATCATACAGCATCATCTTTTATTGTGGTATTTTATTTTAATTTATTTATGGGGACCTGAATAAATGAAATAATATTAATTCATATATCGTGGTATCCTTTATTGCAGCAAACATTTTTATTTTATATATGAGGAAATTAATAAATTAAATAATACTAAATAAAATATCTTGGCATCTTTTATTGCAGTAGACTCTTTATTTTATTTTATTTATTTTATTTATTGCAAATCAACCAGATGCGCTCAAGTCTTTCAGGTCAAACAAAAGTAAAATAAATAGAAAATTGACATAGAATATACTCAGTAAAGTATGTCATAATATAATATTTAAATTGCAAACTACAGTTGTACATAGTATTGGTAGTAGTATTTGTACTGAATTTAATTTATGCTGATTTTATTTAAAAAGCACTGTCCAAACAGGATGATTTTCATTACTGCATTACAATAATGATAATTTTAAGAGAAAATGTGCGTAATTGTCATGAAAATGATGTCAGGAAACCTTAATGGTCCTAAAAAAGTTTTATTTTATTACAGCAACCTTTGCCAAATCATAGTGATTATAGTTAAAAGAAAGATTAAGATTATTTTCCCTTAATATTGATTTAATATTCACATATCAAATGGTTAAATGGCCTTATCCCTGTTGGCGTTTTTTGCTAAAGCTTAATTTTCTAGTATAGTGTTTTCTCTGTGACTTTTCAAGTAGGGCTTTCATACACTGATTAAAATTCCCTGGTCAACGTCTTTCAGTTCCACTATAATTATAGATTAGAGCGTGTGTTGTGTTTCCTGGACTGATAAAATAGTGAGTCTGCGGTGACAGATTGCTCCGCCGCTGCCTTACCATCATTTGTGTACATGTCAAATAAAACAAGGCTTAAGCAAAACCCCAGGTCTCCACGTCCTCTTTAAATTACTATCCTTATCACGCTTTTGCTGTTTAAATAAGGGCCATATAATGTTTTCAGCCTATGCCAGTCTATAAATGATTCCCTCTGTCTTTCGGCAGAGATCTGAGCTTTAACCCGTTCGTCTGCGACTGTAAGCTGGTGCGGTTGGTGAGCTGGCTGCAGGACCAGGGCGTTCGAGTGAAGCGACCCAACTCTATGCTCTGTGACCGGCCGCCCGAGGTGAAAAACCAACCGCTGCTCAACGTCAGTGTGCACACCTGCGGTGAGTGACAGGAACACACCTGAGTTTAAGTATTACTTGAAGTATTTAGGCCATTTACATACTACCCCACTACTTGTGCTGCTCCTGTAGTATGCAGTATGCGTACTGTGTCCATCCTCATTCATTAAGGTGTACAGTATACAGCACTGCATGAAATTGTATCCCATTAGCAATGCGCTCAATTTCATGTCAGGGTTATTATAGTCAACTAAACCTTAAATTAAAGGTGGGGTAAGTGATTTCTGGTAGCCAATGTTGATATTTTAAATCACCAAAACAAACACGCCCCTACCCCAAAAGGGTCTCGTCCCTATTTTGATAGCTCCGCCCCACACATATGTACGCAACCCAGGCAACGATTAGTTCTGTGAAACAAAGCAAAACCAATGTTACACCGTGTCTACACCGGACGCGAGTGGCGCGGCGCGACACAATACTATAGAATTCATTATAATCAGTGATGCTGTCTACACTGGATGCGGCGTGACGCGACACGACAAATCCCCGGCAGAAAACTGCTACTGCTTTCTATTTATGACGTATTGACACAAATTTCAAATGATTTTCAATGGTCGCTTTGTCGCGTCCATTGTAGACAGACTTTAGTTGTTGCGCCGCTGCGCCTTCCGCTCCTTGAGTTCTCTTGAGCACTGGAAAGCTGATCCGATATTTACATGGGTCCAACTTCTTGCCTTATCATAAGCCTTCTTTTGTTCCGCAGACGTTTTCCTCTTTTGTTTTTTATCCGCCATCTCTATCTTTCTGTTGTCGCTCGGCTCGGCTAATGTCCGTCCTGTGCACTGAGCGCTCTCTCCTCTGCATCATGAGTAGACACGCCCCTTACTGCTGATTGGCTACAAGTTTGTTTTGGTACTTGGCAAGACTCAGTTTTCTAAAGCGTTTTTGAAAAAATACATACCCCACCTTTAATGTACTAAAATAACTAAAACTGAATAGACATATTAAAGAGTAGTATTTTAGTATGCTAACCCAACTCATCTGTTGTTTGACACGCTATTTAAATAGTATGCAGGTATTCAGTGTGTACTGTACAGAATGTGCTACTCTGCTATTATATTCCAAATGCAGCCAAGAGCAATTAATGTGTTGAAAATACCGATCTCTCAAATTTTAATCGATTCTCATTTTGATGAATCGATATCTAAAGAAAACTGGAAGCAGATGGAACCAGAAGCCTTGAGTTACAAATGGCCGCGCCCACACTTACATAAAAAATAAGATAGATGTCTAGAAGGGATACAGCCACGGCCGGAAAATCACAATCAATTAAATTTGCTACCTATTAGATTGTGTATTATTAACGTCTACACCTACCCCAACCCTAAACCCAAACCTTACAATCATGCAAATACAGTAATTAATTGTTGTTCAGCGTGATTGAGTATTGATGTGCGCATGATTTGTTATTTTCTACTTTTGATATGAAACAATCGCTCAGCTTTCAAATTCTGTGCATTTTACTACGAAATTCAACCAATAAATACCGTTTTCTGTGGCTTGACAGATCGCTGTATCTACCTGTACAGTTAAAGCGGCAGCGCGGAGCGAATGTGAACTGATCATCTCTTCTTTGATACTAGTTACAGCACGAAATAAACATGAATGAACATCAGAAGTAATGTTAAAAGAAACAGTACAACATACTATCATGTCTCATGTAATCACTCAATCGGTGTTTCAACCACGTCAATAAAACAGCTTGTAAACAATGCCACGTAACGTTACGTTTACCTCAGAAAAGCCATTCAGGTGCCATAAACTCGATAGTTAGCTAGAAAAAGAACTACAAAGGAGTGTTTTGTTAAATATATGCACTAGATCACATATTGATTATATTTTTCCTTGAACTGTTCTTTAATATTTAATATATGTTTTTATGACCGTTTAAATGTTTTACATTAAACAAACAAACAAACAAAAAATAATTAGTGTAGAAACATAATTATTTAATTTAAGAAAAACTTCCTTAAAGCTGCAGTCCGTAATTGTTTTTGGTTAAAAATGATCCGAAATCAATATTTGAGCAAGTACATAACCAACCAGTGTTCAAAACTATCGCCTTACTTTAGCCTGATTCACAACGGTCAGCTTATAATAATGTTTTCTAATTTGAGTGGTACGGGTAGGTTTTCGCGGAAAATTCGAGCATGGCACTGCGTCATTACGTCACGTCTGTAAACATAAAGAAGTTGTCCCGGCTACTAGGCTATCGCATGTGAGGATCCTGCAGGTGGTGGATCGTTTATAGCCTTTTTTCACAGCAGCCAGAATAATTAAATGTATCATTTTGATGGCGGATTGTAATCCAGAAAGGATTATGTGTTTATGAAACAAATTATATTCCAGTTATAAATGTGCTTCTGATTACAGATAGCCTGGGATTACAAAGATAGATGGCCACAAAGAGGCAAAACTTACGGACTGCAGCTTTAAGTGCAATTGAAATGTTTCTATATGAATCAGTTGTTCATTTTAACCATTACCATAGCCAAATGAATCGATATCATAAATTGAATCGAATCGCAAGCTAGTAAATCGAAATTGATTTGAATTGTGAAATTTGTGTCAGTACTCAGCACTAATCATTACCTTTACCTAATTACCTTCATTTGTTGGTTAGCCCACACCAAATGCAACATTTCTAGAAAATGGGACATAGATTTTTGTTTGATTCTGAGCTTTGAATTGGCCGTTGCTGTCTCGCTGTCATCTCTCAGGGCTGACGTACGCGGGCTGTCTACAGGACGAGGAGCATGCGGCAGGCGTGGAGCTGGTCATCTTCTCCTCCTCCACTCCCGGTTCGTTCTCGCGTGAGGAATGCAACTCCAAATGCTTCCATGAGAACCAGCTCTACGGCGGTCTGGGTCAGCAGAGAGAGTGTCTGTGCAGCACCAACTCCGAGCCCAACCACATCAGCGAGTCCCAGTGTTCGGCCGCATGCTCGGACCCGCTGGTCATGAAGGAGTGCCGCTGGACTGTGGCGCAGGACGTGTTTCAGGTCTGTGTGAAGAGGTTCAGGTTGTTAACTTCCTCTAGAGTTGATTAGACTCATGTAATCGGTCACTCAGACTTAGATGAGCTCACCTATGGGCTGAAACCAAATTCACATAGTGTTTGCTTTATATAGTTTTCATGATTAGAATGAATGCATTTCAAATCATGGTACACTATAAATATTTCACAAAAAAATACCTGGATTGTGTACAATTCCTGGGGGATTTTTAAAAAGTATATAACCATGCATACTTTTTGGGTGTAATATTACCCATAATGCATTGCGCTGTGAGGTAGAGTGGCATGCTGCGTACTAAAAAGTATATACTTTACCATTGCCAGTTTTAGAATTTGAGAACCCAAACTTTTGAATGCTAGAGTTTGAATTCGCTCTCCACCCACAGGTGAATTTCTCCGCCTCTCTTCCTTCTCGCCGTGTGTCTGTTCATTCTGAGGCTGTCCTGTCTGTCGCCTCGTCTGTCTTCCCTGCCTCTTTCTCATGGGACTTCGGTGACCTTTCACCCCGGGTCAACACCTCTACGCCCAACACCATGGCGAGGCATAAGTACGGTGTCCCGGGACGGTACCAGGCTCAAGTGAGTCTCTCAGCGGGTCACCAGGAGATCGTGGCACAGGGGAACGTGAGCGTGGAACTGCCCCCTCGACTCGAGCTACACTGCCCCGAACTCATAGTGGCCAATCAGAGCCTGGAGGAGGCGGTTTCTCTGGTCAACTGGGGCGGAGTGGGCATAACCGTGGACTGGAGGATCACGAAGGATGGACGAGAGATAGCAAGAGGTACAAGACAAAATATATGCTGTAATATAAACATAGAATGATTTCTGAAGATCATGTGACACTGAAGACTGGAGTAATGATGCTGAAAATTCAGCTTTGCATCACAGAAATAAATTTAATTTTAAAACTTATTACAATAGAAAACAGTTATTTTAAATTGTAATAATATTTCACAATATTATTGTTTTTACTGTATTTTTTATCAAATAAATGCAGCAGAATACACTTCTTTCAAAATCATCTAAAAATCTTACTGATCCCAAATATTATATCATATCATATATCATATTATATCATATTAAAGCATTAGAAATTGGTTGTGTATTAAAAAGTAATCAAATATAATTGGTCTAAAAATATATTTATTGTGATTTGAGCTAAAGAAACAATTTATGATACTGTTGTCATCAGATTTTATATTGAATAAAATCATTTTTAATGAGATTAATCTACTTTAATCAACAGTTTATTAGTACTGAATGAAATGCAATTCATAATAGACATTTCTCTGCAATTTTGGATATATTTTTTTTCACTATAGTCATCCCAGTGCATTTTAGGATTGTTATCGCAAAGGATAAATGCCATATTGTGTCTCAGCTGTAGCATAATGATTTAAAACTGACTTTTTGTCAGGAATGTGCCTTGAAATGGTGTCTAGATAGGCAGCTCACTACTGTACTTACAATCACATACAAACTGGCACAATCTTGATGACACATTCTCACAGGCGCAGTTATGTCAGGACAGCTCAGATGTAACACGCTCTGAAATGACCATGGGACTGTCTCTCAAAATATCCTGCTTTTCATGATCTATCAAGCCATAAACGTCCCATCTCTTACACAAAGCATGGCTGTCCCTGTCGAGCGATGGCATGTGAAGATTCTCTCGTTTGTTTATCAGCCCTGCAGAGATCTGTCCATCATTGTTTGCTTTGAGAGAACAGATAAAAGTGCACTGCGCTGATCCCAAGAGGAGGGACGAGAAGAACACGGGTTACAGAAGCAGAGGAAATCATTACTGATTTACTTACAGTGGGGAAAACAATGCCTAATCCAACTTACCATAGACAATAAACAGGCTTATCAGCTTTTAAAACATTTTGTCGTTAACATCCTATTACAATCATCTGTCACTTGGTAGAAGCTCATGAAATTAGACGTCAACATGAAAAGGTTGAATGAGATCATCAAAAACCATAAACGAAACATAAGATTTAAAAATGACCCAGATGACATTTAATATAGGTTAATGACTTATAAAATTACTTATCCATAAAAGTTTATAATAAATAAACAGTGATTTGTACAGTGAATTATTGGCTTTTTTTTGTTGTTGCACTGAAATCTCAGTGATATGTTGATATGCTTTTTATGGTCATGTTTTTATAATTTTTTCAGCATATTTAGCATACACTCTAAAAAATGCTGGGTTAAATACAACCCAGTGCTGGGTAAAATATGAACAAACCCAGTGATTGGGTTGTTTTCAACCAACAGTTGGGTTAAATGTTTGACCCAGCCTTCTGGGCAGTAACCCAACAGCTGGATCAAAACAACCCAATTGCTGGGTTTGTCCATATTTTACCCAGCACTGGGTTGTATTTAACCCAGCATTTTTTAGATTGTATAATATTTGCTCTTGTTTGTTTGTTTTTTAATGTTAATATTAATTATGCATTATTAAAATTGGGGATTTTCCCAATCAGCCTGTTAAAATCAGCATATGAAAATGTTTTCTGAAGGATCATATGACACTAAAGATATTATAAATATATTATAAATAATATTTATTGAGTTGAACTTTCTGGCCCTTTAGCGGAGCCGCTGTGTTTGCCAGATGCGATCCATCACGCTGACTCATCCCGCTGTTTCCTGTTGGTGTCGGAGGAAGTCAGCTGGTCAGATGCACGTCGGAATTGTTCAGCCCGTGGGGGGGAGCTCGCCGTGGTGCATTCCCAAACCGTCCGGGACCTTCTGGCCCCTCGAATCACACAGTGAGTCTGAAACTGTAGAACTGTAGAACAGCTTGAAATGGTTTTTCAACTGTTGTTTCAAAACATCTGTAGGCTAATTCCAAATTTAAACATTTAAAATCCCACTGCCAATGCAACATTTTCCACTGATACCTGTGCTGCTTTTTGAACCCCGCTCTCGTTTTCTTCGCTCTCGTCGAGTCCTGTAGAATTTCACTCTGAAACAGCAGCAGGGCACCATGGGAAATACCTTTTAAAGTCACTCTCAGTGCTGCCCAGTTCACGACCTGCAGTGAAAGGACTGAAAATGTGTGAGTTCCTCACAGGAACAGACAGAAAGGCCAGAACATTCAAAGACCAGACGCAGACTTGATGAAGTTCACAAGGAGACCAAAAAACATGTCTTATAATGTGAAAAAGTGTCTTATTAGAATATTGAATGTGTGAAACCATTACAGACATAGAGCAAAAAATGATTTAACATGAAAAGCAAAACAACATAAGATCTCGTTTTCCCTTTAAATGAAGTTTATTTTTGTTACCCCTATTTTTCTAGTTTTAGTTCATCCAAAAATGAAAATTTGCTGAAAATGTACTCACCCTCAGGCCATCCGAGATGTAGATTAGTTTGTTTCTTCGTCAGATTTGGAGAAATGTAGCATTGCATCACTTGTTCAGCAATGGATCCTCTGCAGTGAATGGGTGCCGTCAGAATGAGAGTCCAAACAGCTGATTAAAACATCACAATAAAACAAACAGCTGTTTGGACTCTCATTCTGACGGCACCCATTCACTGCAGAGGATCCATTGGTGAACAAGTGATGCAATGCTTCATTTCTCCAAATCTGACGAAGAAACAAACTAATCTACATCTCAGATGACCTGAGGGTGAGTACATTTTAACAATGTTGAATTTTTTGGTGAACTATTCCATCAAGCATAAACTCACTTAATTCTGATACATTTTCAGAAAACAGGACTTGATATCTAAAGTTATTTTGCTTGTGAAGTAAATGTATCTTGATTTAAAATGTTTTGATATTTCTACTAGAAAAGACAAAAATACTGAGTAAGAACATTTTATTTTATTTTTGCAAATGCATGGCCTTTGTTTCGGCATGTAATGTAATTAATGCACATAATGAAAATTTCTACATTTTACACAAAACGATTGGTCTGTGCAAGAAACTGAACAGTATTTATATCGTTTTTTACCTCTGCTTTATATATCATGATTTACTTATATGTTCATTACCGCCACCTATCTCTCAAATGGACCATTGACACTCTATCTACAATCTCAATTAGGAGTGTCAGTGGTCCATTTGAGAGATAGGTGGCGGTAATGCACTTAAGTCTGCAATCCGCCGTAAAGCAAGAAGAAGAAGAAGACACCTCACGCACAGGCTGAAGAAGAAGACGCGAACACGCTCAGGACAGTTCAGATATTGCGGTGAAAGTCAGAGGTAAAAAACAATCTAAATACTGTTCAGTTTCTTGCACAGACCGATCGTTTCGTGTCTTTACACATCAATGTATCGTCACGAGCCGCAGGGTTTAATTTGGTTTTGTTTGTGTATGTTTTATGACTCTCAAAACCATGATTCCCATTCACTTCCATTATAAGACTGACAAGACGGTTTGAGTTAAAAATCTTCATTTGTGTTCTACTGAAGAAACAAAGTCAAATTTCTTGAGAAATTATCTGTATAAATCAATATTTTTCTAAAGAAGATTTTTATGAGTCTGGTCTGGTGTTATTTTAGTATTATTTGTTTTTTATTGCTATTTTGAATTAGCTTTTATTTTTATGTTTTCAGTTTTCAATTTTACTTTAATTTTTGATAATGTTGTTATATGCTTTTGTCATTTAATTATTTTTTTTTCTGTGTAGATTCATTTATTTTTATTTTAGTTTAATTTATTTCCTCTTAGTAATTTTAGTGCTTCAACTTTAAGGTTTTTTTTTTCAGCAACATTTTTTTTTTCAGCTTTATTTCAATGTTTTTAAAAGTTTTCGAGCCGCAGGGTTTAATTTGGTTTTGTTTGTGTATGTTTTATGACTCTCAAAACCATGATTCCCATTCACTTCCATTATAAGACTGACAAGACGGTTTGAGTTAAAAATCTTCATTTGTGTTCTACTGAAGAAACAAAGTCACCTACATCTTGGATGCCCTGGGGGTAAGCAGATAAACATCAAATTTTCATTTTTGGGTCAACTATCCCTTTAAGTCCAAAGTCACATTAATTTATATAGCACTTTATACAAAACGACATGTTTCACTGCGGTAAGCCGTGCTAAAGTTGCAAAAATTCATAAATTATGAAATTATTGTACTTTCTGAGCACCGCTATGTTGAATGAGCTACAGCTTTCCTTCAAGCCATCTTAGTAAATGATTTCAAATTGACCGGCTTGTAAACGAAAAATAGCACATTTGGACGTGATTGGACTAAATGGGAAGTCCTTTCTGGCGATCATTATCGTTATTATTCACCAGCAGTGCACAAAACGTGTAGAACCTAAATTGCGCAGTTGATGTTCACAATTACAACTTAATTATGACCGATTTGTTTCCTCCAGATTCTTTGATTGACTTTTCCATCTCAGGGAATAATTTCCCACTGGTAATAATGCCATTGTGGAGGTATTCATGTGCGCTAATCTTGTAAAAGCCATCATCCTGACGAGGCCTGAAGGCAGCATTAGCTCGGATGTGGACCTGATATTATGCTGATAGTCAAACGTCTCTATAGTTGAATTAACCCTGGCAGTGCTGCTTCCTTTTCTATCATACTCTAGTCTAGTCTTACAATTATAATTCTGATATTTGCAAATATGTTTCTAAATATTTCATCTTGATGTACACACACTTCCACTCAAAGTTTCAATACTTAATTTGTTTTGACTGAGTTTAGTTCTCATGATATTCAAAAACATTTTGATCTAAAGGTTCATTCTTTAAATACTGAAAATAGTTTGTAGCATTTTATTTATTAATTTAAACTTTATTTTTATGCATTTTAAATTAATTCTTACAAACAATTCCTTGACGATTGCAATGGCACAGTATCATAAGGATAGAACAAAGGACATAGAAAACACAAAAAACATGCCTAGATACTTACATATTTATATATTATAGTTAAATTTTATGTTTTTTTATGATTTGGTAGAATCTTTATTTATTTATATATTTTAAATGTTAAAATTATTTATGTATTTATTCATATGTTTTCATGTATTTTTAATATTTTTAAAAAGATGATTTAGAATGATCATTATTTATACATTTATTTAAAAGTTAAAAAAAAAATTTGATAGGTTGGATCAGTTATTTATTTATTCATTTATTTATGTATTAAATTATTTTTTTTTTTTAGTTCATTCGTTTATTTTGTTTTTAATTTTTAATTTTTAATTAATTAATTTTTTTAAATGAGGAATCTAAAAGGAAAAGCATGTTCCTTCCACACTAGTTTTTAAAAGCGTTGCAGGACGCACTTCATGTTGCTGGAATCTAGACAAAGAAGAAACTCAAATATCAGAGACTTTTCATTGGTTTTGCTCACTACATCGTTACCATACATTCATTCAGTGTTTTCACGACTTGTTAGAAAATGTGAACTAAAAAATAAGTAGCACATCTGCTGAAACACAGCTGTGGAAATACGTTACACTCCAGGAGGGAGGAGACGCCAGTTCTGTGTGTGTGTGTGTGTGTGTGTGTGTGTGTGTGTGTGTGAGTGTTTCCTGTCTTCTGTTCCACACCCATCATTAATTTGAGGGCAGAGCTTCCACTGACCAAAGCGAGAGAGAAAGAGAGCAAGAGGAGGAAGTGTGTTTTCTATCTCTTTAACCTGCTGCAGATGGACCACATACCCCAAACACACACACACACGTCTTATGTAAGAATGCACAAGTGAATAGACCACTTTTTATTGTTCCTTTTCTGGCGCAAAGAGTCATGTTTTTTGTCCCTTTCTTTCCCCTTCTCTTTTCTTCTCTTTCGTTTGTAGTTTTACAGATGTGAGATGTTGGCTTCAGCCCATTACAACCATGAGTGTGTGTGTTTCCTCTTAGTAATTTTAGTGCTTCAACTTTAAGGTTTTTTTTTTCAGCAACATTTTTTTTTCAGCTTTATTTCAATGTTTTTAAAAGTTTTAGTTAAGGATAATAATAACCCTGATCTACAATGCATTAAAATATCCAAATGACTCATTTCAAATGATATATTAGATACATTTTTGCAGGAATTCTTGGAAAATATCATGGAGCTGTTGTCGTACGTATGACTTTATTCTGTGATTTGTGCACTGGGGCCTATTTGGTTCTGGTTTCATTCACCATTTTTATGTCTCGTTTGAAGGCAAATGAAACTTCAAAATGATCAGACTCCCATCGGGTTCATTAAGGCACACATTTCCCTCGGCTGCTGCTTTATTAGGGTTATTGAAGCTCCGAACGCACTACGCATAAAACATTGAGAGCGCATTCGCCTTGCATTAACATCCCTGTGTGCTCATAGGAAAGAAAAATCACAAACGACATCTCTTTAAAATCTCAGTCCCTACTCCTGGATGCTAATGAGATTAAATGGAGAGCAAAAGCAATAGTTGGGCCAGGAGTGATGATTCTGTCATTGTTTATTCATGTCATTCCGAATCTGTGAAAAACAAACAAACAAAAGAAATGTTTTTTATTCTCTTTTTTTAAAGGAGCTATTTCTTTTAGGCCCGGAAACAGCTCTGGGGTCTCGTTTGTGATGATGTTGTCGGTGTTTGTGTGCATTGCAGGGAGCGCGGCGTGTGGTTGGGTTTGAGCGATCAGTACTCTCCCCGTGTCCTGCGCTGGGTGGACGGTTCGGAGGTCCTGACGGGGGAGGAGGGCACGAGGGACCGGGCCACGCTGCAGCCTGGAAAAGTGTGTGTGTCACTGGATGGCAGCGGGCAGCCCAGCTCACACTCCTGCACCGCAAAACGAGCTTTTGTCTGCCAGTTCACACGCCAAGGTAAACAACACACCTCTGGAATCTATAGCTCCAGTCTGCATACTATAGATACTAGTATGCACCATTTGGATTGGTGCATCCAAAATAAAAAAAAATGCTTGCATGTGCATGCAATTTTATTGCCCACAACTTCTTGCAAAATGGAAGAATGGCATTTGCACTCGTTATTAATCATATTTTTTGTACAAAAATGGGGACAAGTTCTACCATTTTGAAATTAATAATAACAAATGCAAGCTCATGCATTGCGCACACACATAGCTGTAGATCTCATAAAGTCTACAGCTGCATCCAAGTTTGCGTATAATATACTGTAGTATGCATCATTTAAATTGGTGGATCCCAAATTTTTTGTAATTAAATGACAACAAAAGTCCTACTATTTGAAATAATAATTATATATATATATATAGGACACTCTTTTCAGTTGCATTTGGATGCCTGATAAGCAGCTGGAGATGTCTGTGTTTGTCTGCAGTGCGTGTTCCTGATGCCGCTGTGTATACAGTGGGCACCGCTGTGTTTCATTCCCACAGTCCTCTGAGCAGCCCCACAGCGACACACACCTCTGTGCCCAACACACCCGCCGGGCGTGTAGAGGTACACACACACACACACACACACACTCACACACTCACACACACTCTCGCACACACACACACACACAAACAACTCCTTCAGAACTAGTATAGATCCGAAAAGAGGTTTTTTAATTAACTGTGTATTTTTGTATTTGTATGTTCACCAAGAGAAATTATTTTTATTGAAATGTTGTATGAAGCCTGTTTGTGTATTGATTGTATCTTTTGGTGTAAATGTATTTGTTTTGTATTTTTTACCATGAAAAATTATATACGTTCAATCAAATTTAAAAAATCTTATATAGTTGTTGTAAGAAGCCCATTTGTTTATTGTTTGTATCTTTTGGAGTAAAAATGTAATCAATCAATCCATACATATATACATAATTACTTTTATTGTAATTAAAAAAATATATACTTTATTTGTATTTTTACCATGAAATATCTTAGAAATGAAATCAAATTTAAAATCTTATATACTGTAGTTTTTATTGTAATGTTGTAAAAAGGTTTTTTGTGTATCTTTTGGTATAAAATGCAGTAACGGAATAATCATAAATACATACATACACACTTACATACATACACAATTTATTTGTATTTTCACCAGGACAAAATCTAGGAAGTTAATCAAATTAAAATGTAATCAATCAATCAATACATACATGCATACATTTTTATTTATTTTAAAAATTAACTTTATTTGTAATTTTACCCAGACAAATTCTAGGAATTTAATCAAATTTAACGATCTCAAATAATTTATAGTGTAATATTGTAAGATACAATAAAATACAAAATAGGTGTAAAAAATATGAAGGTGAATTAATTTAGCGATTTAGTGACATCCATCAATAAACCTGCACATCCAATTACTGTAATTACTGCAGGTGCTTTTAGCTGTCATTAACAAATCATATCTGAGTCTGAGGCCATGAGGTTATCTCATAATTTCAGTAATCCTGATGACCGCATGTTAGTGTGTTTCATTTGCAGCCACAGTAACACTGCAGTATTTGCGAACAGAACTCTAAATGGACCATTTTGTAGTAAATTGTACCTGCTTTTACTCAGCATGCCATCTGGTATTGATTGAAAATACAAACCTAATTCTATTTTCTTGTCAATGTAGTGCACATTATAACTGCTGTTAGTTTTAGCTTTTTTGCACTTTAAATTAAACTATTTTTGGTATAGGATATATATATCATATTTATGTATATGTGTTTTTGTTTTCTTTCGCTTCTATACAGAAATATACACCAGCTTGGACAGACATTGTGGTGATTAATGTATGATCTGCGCTGAGCTTTGGTTTGGTGATGTTGATTGTTTACGTATATGTGTGTTTGTGTGTGTGTGTGTGTGTGTGTGTGTGTGTGTGTGTGTGTGTGTGTGTGTGTGTG